CCAGAAGAGGGCACCAGATCTCATTACAGATGGTTGTGATCCACCATGTGGTTCCTGGGAATTGAACTCAGGACCTCTGGAAGAACAGTCAGTGCTCTTGACCACTGAGCCATCTCTCCAGCCCCTGGAAACAACATTTTCAATGACAACGGGTGGCTAAGTTAAAGATTATGCTAAAAATTACTGGTCGATGGTGGCACACTTCTTTAATCCCAGCACTCAGGAGGCAGAGGCAGGCAGATCACTGTGAGCTTGAGACAGACCAGGTCTACAACCTGAATTCCAGAGTGGTTACACAGAGAAATCGTGTCTCAGGAATCCCTCCACCCCGCAAAAAAGATTATGCTCTAAGTGGGAGAAACATTCCATGTTCGATTAAATAGTCTTCTACCCAGGACGAAATCTGAGGTGGTTCTTCGAAGAAATCATAGGCCTTTCCAGACAGAGGAATAGTTCTGGGCTGTCCTGAATTAGAGAGCCAGCCCATGCAGGCAGTTAGAGGCTTTCTCTTTTTCTTCTTTCAATGTTTATGGGAGTTTTCCCTGTATGCAGGTCTGCGCGTCATGCATATGCCTGGTGCCCACGGGAACCAGAGGCATCAGATCCCCTGGAACTGGGGTTACAAGGAGTTGTGAACTAGTGCTGGGGATTGAATCCATTCTTTCTTGGGCTAGGAGTATGATTTACTGCTTAAGTGTATGTATCCCAGGACACATAATATGTTTTTAGTTCTTCAAAACAAAGGAAAACAAACTTCAAAGTGGAAAAACACCCTGTGGCCCATCAGGTGGGCAAAACTGAGAAAGTTTGCTGACATTACATCAGCAATAGTGTGGATTAACAGACAAGCTCATGCATTGTTAGTAAAAAAGAAAAATAGGCTGGGTTGTTTTGCTTGGTTTTGGGTTGGTTGTTTACTCAAGACAAGGTTTGTGTCACAGCTCTGGTTGTCCTGGAACTCACAGAGATGTGAGTTCTCTGTCGCATCGAGTGCTGGTTTTAGAGGCACGCACCACCACTGCCCAGTGAAAGGATAGATTGTTATAACCTATCTTGCTTTATTCTAAGTTACATAATTTTTTAAAAGATTTATTTATTATGTATATAATGTTCTGCCTGCAGGCCAGAAGCGGGCATGCATAAAGCCTCATTACAGATGGTTGTGAGCCACCATGTGGTTGCTGGGAATTGAACTCAGGACCTCTGGAAGAACAGTCAGCACTCTTAACCTGAGTCATCTATCCAGCTCCTATACTTCAGTTGTTTTTTTTTTTTTTTTTNCATATGTAGCCAAAGACTTCTGGACGGGATCCTGATCACTGTCTCCACTTCCTAAAAACTGGGATTATAGGTTTGATCCAGTGAGCTAGAGAGTACAACCTCTTTGAAAGATGGCTTGAAATATAAAATTTGCAAAACAAAGTTGGGCCTGGTAGCCATACTTCTTAATCCCAGCACTTTGTAAATAAAAAACAAATTTTCGTGAGTTCCAAGGCCAGTCTGGTCTACGCTGCCAACGTTTCGCTGTGACGCCCCGTCTCAAAAACAAACAAAACACTGAAAGCCACTGACTCAACAACTTCCCTTTAGCAGCTGAGGATATAAACTTTACATATGCAGAGGAATACACCACTCTCTACCTGGAACTAGCTATTGCAGACCAGGCTGAACTCACAGAGATCTGCCTGTCTCTGCGCCCCCCCCCCCAGTGCTGGGATTAAAGGCATGCGCCGCCACCGCCCGGCTAAAATTTGTTTTTAATAATAACACTAATTGAATATTAATTACAGTTTTGATCTCAACTCATTCCTCTAAGAATTCTAAGATAGAGCCAGGCCACTTGGGAGACAAGGTAAGCAGACCTCCAGTTCAAAGTAAGCCTGGCCTACTTCCAGAGAGTTTCAGGACAGGCAGGGCTGTTACACAGACAAACCCCATCTCAAAAAAATTGAAAAATTATAATCAGAAACATCTGCACATCCTGAAGGCATCTAATTTGGAATAAATCCATGTATCCTTAAATCCCTTCCTAAAAGCATCTGTGTTAATTGCTGGTCTTGTTACAACAAAATGCCCATCCAAGTTCCTGCAGGAAGGGCTCAGTTACGGTTACAGGTCCAGTGGACACTGCCCATCATGACAGGGAGGGCCAGGCAGTAGTGTAAGGCCACTGGGCACAATGTGCCCAGTCAAGCAGCTGCAATAAGACTGGGCACAGCTGACTTTCATGTTGTGATTTATTTATTTAAAATGAACAACTTCCAAACAAGACAGTAAGAATCGCAGGCACAACTGTGGAAGTGACAGTAAAGAACCCTTGCCTGGACAGCTGTGCTTATCAGATTTCTAAACCAGACATTTGTGTTAAAATGCTTCCCAATGCATCACTGCTACGGAAACACTCTCTAGTTGGGTCTCTGCCAGTCAAGCTCCATCAAGAACAGGCTCAAAGTTCATGCACTTTGCCCTCTCCTTAATGAAACCTGCTCGATCTGCATCTCCCAACCATTAGTTTAGATATTGTTTGCACAGTGTGGTCCAGGACTCCTAAGGCTTGAACACAAGCAGATCAAAGTGTTCTTTATTCTGGGTTACATAAGGAGCACCGAGCTGGAAACACATGCTACTGTAGCTGAGGTCTCAGCACTGTCATCGATTGGGTCCTGTCCAAAGTTACAGCTGGGGGACCTAACTGGGTTTCTTCCTAGTCACTTACTTTTCTCCTAATATCTCCTCAAGGGCCAGCTACCATTCCCCTTCATGCTTGGGAGTCTGGCACTCCCGGGAATGACTTGGATCCAGGAAATCATAGTTTGTAGCAATTGGTAGCTACTTGTTTGGTGCCTTGACCCTCCTTACTGGGTCAAAGACTTCCTATAAGCTGTGCAGTCCCAGTTCCTTGAACTACCAAATAGTGGGGTGTCTAGAGCCTTCCTCTCCTATTGGATCTCCTGTGTACTTCTGCCATCTTATTTCTCTTTTGTGGGTGCTAGGGGTTAAGCTTGGGACCCCTGTCCTTATCCAAGGCTGTTTACAGAACTCCTTAGAGCTGTGCCCACAGTTTTGCTATCAGCAGTGGGTCCTCCTGGTGCTTCCATTGTAATCAGACACAAACTGTAACAGTTCCCTGACATATACAAGTAAACCTGACTTTGAGCAACTCTTTAAAGATCACATTGTGTGTATCAGGGAAGGAGCATAAATGCCAAGGTACCCTTGTGGAGGGCAGAGGACAACCTGCAGTTCTTGACTCTCTTATCTTGTGGATCCTCCAGGTAGAACTCAGGTCACCAGGCTTGGTGGCAAGTGCCTTTAATCACCCACTCATCTTGTTTGCCTTGATTCTTTTGTCTTTCACCTTCAATAACAGTGGTTCTCAACCTTCCTAATGCTGTAACCCTTTAACACAGTTTCTCATGTTGTGATGAACCCCCACCATAAAATTATTTTCGTTGCTACTTCATAACTGTAATTTTGCTACTGTTATAAATTGTAAAACAAATGTCTGATATGCAGGGTATCTGATATGTGACCCCTGTGAAAGGGTTGTTCGACTCCCAAAGGTGTCTTGGCCCACAGGTTTAGAACCCTTGCTCTAAACCTTTGCTGAAGTCTTTGACTCGTCCTTCAAGGATTTAAGTTCTGCATACTCACTGAACCTGGACTTCCTAAGTGAGCGCATACTCGCTTCCAAACTACCAGTAGATAGGGAAGCTTGCTGCTGCCTCAGTGATTCCCAAACATTTTCTCCCCCTCTATCAAGTCCTTTTTACTGAGAAGTCTCAGTATGGCTCAGTGGGTAAAAGCACTAGTCACAAAAGCCTGAGGGAGGGCCTGAGTTTTATCCCTGTAACCCTTGTCAGAGTAAAAGTAGGAGAGAACCGATTCCACGAGTCATCCACCAGCCTCCACACAGCATAAGGCAACAGGAAATGAACACACACACTAATAAAAAGGTACTCTTCCCTTGGAGTCCTTTCTTCTCTGCAGAGTTCCTTTTTGCTTTCCCTATTAAAAACAAGATGCAGCCAGGCAGTGGTGGCACACGCCTTTAATCCCAGTACTCGGGAGGCAGAGACAGGCGGATCTCTGGGAGTTCGAGGCCAGCCAGGTCTACAAGAGCTAGTTCCAGGACAGGCTCCAAAGCTACAGAGAAACCCTGTCTCGAAAAACAAAACAAAACAAAACAAAACAAAACAAAACAAACAAGATGCGTGCTGCTTTTCTGCCATCTTCCAGCTGGAACAAAGACCCTATTTTGCCCACCTAACTTCTACCAGTAAGCGATGTCCCCAACTCTCGACTCCTTATCCTGTAACAGGCCAATGATTCCCTTAGATAACTAAATGCCACACACGACATCCTACAGTTTTAAAGTTGCTATTCGGCCAGTGAGAAGACTCAGTAGGTAAACGCACAGGCCACCAAACCTGACAACCCCGAGGCCCAACAGTGATCAGCTCCTCCAAGCTGTCTTCTGACCTCCACGTGTGTACTGTGAAGTGTACGTAAATTTTTTTTTTCTTTTCTGTTCTTTGCAGCGCTGAAACACAGGGGTGGGGGAGGATGACGACTAAGATTCCAGGGCACCTGACAGTGCTAGCACTTAGGGGGCTCATGCAGGCCAACGGCAAGGAAAGCCAGGAAGTGCACAGAAGCTGCAGACCAGAGCACACTACATAGCAAGAGTCTGTCTGAAACAACAAAGACACACTATATTAACAGTGCAGGATATCTAAATAAGAAGCTGCAAGTCAACTTTCAAACGTTTTATTTTTAGTGTTTTAAAACATTTTAATACAACAAAGATATAAAATAATATATTAGTTAAATCTGGATTTAATTTAGAATCAGGTATTTACTTATATACAACACTGTGCTTCAAGGTATGGCTACCACAGGGACTTTCACATCTTCAAGTAACACTAGTTTTTCTGTGGAAAGGGAGACACGCCCGGCTTAGTCCACACAAACTGCTTATTTACTGAGTTAGGCTCACCTCCTTTGTTCCATATCAGAAACTTTCGTTATCCTAACAATTCACGAAGTCTTCAATGAAAAATTATTAAAATTAAACATTTTAAAGATGTTAATAACAACAGGCTGTTTAGTTTTTCAGATAATCCAGTAGCTCAGATTAAAAGAGATGTGAAATAACAGTGACGAAAACAAGCAACTTCATAATACTCCTTCTCCTGTCGAAGCACAAGGCTTCCTTCTGCCGACAGGAGACACACACCAGAGGCCTCAGATTAACACACAGCAGAACGTATCCTCAGAACAACCTAGTGTAGCTGGGGAATAGCTTAGAGTTCACAGGCATTTGTACTGGACTTGATACAACATTAGTTATGTGAACTGACAGGTGACCCAACAAGCCCTTCTACAACACTTTCAGCCCTTTACAGCTCTGTGAGAAGAGACAAACAGAATCTTCCCGCCGGTCGGTTGGTTGAAGCTCTCTGAGCGCTAATGGGATTCACCAATCCCCAGCCGCAGAGGTACAGGGTGGGGACGATCGAGGCCAAGCTCAGCTCCGAATAAACAGCAGCTGTCTAAACCGTGTAAAGTTGTCATTAAACTGACATGCTTTGGCGGCTTTCACACTGGATGAAGAAAAGCAAACTATTCTAAGGAGTGCTCTTGTCTCCAAGGGCTGAGAACCTTAGAGGGTGGACAGGTGCTTTCACTGCTTTGACTATGGGATCTCTTTCTACAAAAGACTATCAATTAAGTGTATTAAATCAGGGAATTTAAGTCAAGAAAACCATAAACATTCTTAAGGATTTTAGCTCTAGAATCTTTAAGTGATAAAACTGCTTTTTGCTAAATATGATCAAAGCAGGTTTTTGTCATGAATTTGAACTTAATAAGAGCACGGGCGGTAAAGACAGGTGGATCCCTGAGTTCGAGGCTACCCTAATCTACAGACTGAATTCCAGGACAGCCCAGGCAATACAGAGAAACCCTGCCTCAAAAACAAAAAATAACTTTAAAAAATTAAAAAAAGGGGGGGGGAGAAAGACAAGTTTTGCACACGTTCCTAAAACAGGCTGCTTCCTCTCTGCTGTAAGAGGATCTGTTCCTCTCATCTCTGCCAGCTCTAGGTCCTAACAGGCAGGCAGGAGGGCCGCCACTCACAGTGCCAATGGTAAGCTCCTGGCAGTGGTTTTTCTAGTTTGTTAAATTGACTGATTCTAAGACGTAGCCTATTGCTTTCGATTTGGAAGATCATTAACATTTAGAACCAGCACGATTAAAAGTATTTTTGCCATAGCAAGTTTGGTCAGACAGGACTGGAGGACAGCCTACTGGGAAGTACAACCCAGACAAAAAAGGTTTCTGCCTCATTCCTTTCCTACCAGCTCCCTTTCAATAAGATGCCCTGCCTTGCCCCGTAAAACAGAGCTGAGCATGTAGATCAATAGCTGAGCCCTTGCCGGGCACACACAGCCCTAGGTTTAGGATGTAGATCAATGGCTGAGCCCTTGCCGGGCACACACAGCCCTAGGTTTAGCACCACAAGGAGGGCAACAACACTGTTTCTAGAACATAGGCAATCCATCAAGGTCTTCTTACAGAACCCCTAGTTGGAATCCCCAAACTCAAAACCTTTCCTTCCTTCTGTACTAAGTTGTCAACAATGAAATGCTTGTACAACTGCAGAATCAACTACAAGATTCAAAGGCATGGAGCCTCTCCACCCAGCCACATCCTGCCCAGAATGTAAACATAAACTCTATCTTCTCTACAGTTAAGATTTCAACAAGAGAAAAGGTACAAAGACAAAAACTGAAAACTAACTGTCTTCGTTGAGACCCGAAGATGATTACGTCATGTAAACGCTCTTATAATAGCTAACAGCTTACTATCTAGCCTACCTTTCCTCAAACATTGGGAGGAGCCATGAGGCCACTCACAAGGACACTGCGGGCTGCAATAGCACAGCAAAGCTACCTGCATTTACTTTTCTATTTTGTTCTACAATAATCCATATGAGGAGAGAAGCCAGATGTTAAGACATTTACCATTAATATAGTTAAAATTTTAAAATTCATGTTGACACGTGTTTCTGGAACAGTCTCCGAAAGCCAACACTAGCTCCCCTAGCTAAGTTGGGTTTGACATGCTATGTCAGGGGATGGGGGTAAGAGGGTGGCAGTAATGGCCTCTGACCACAAGTCAAACCACTTAAACATGCACGGAAAACCTTCACCCCATGATTATGTAATCTCTTTACATGAGATATTGGCGTTTTTGATCCTGGCTTGTAACAGAATCACCAATTTAAAATACTGTAAGATTCTGCAATATAAGATTTAAGAACATAATCAAACTTGAGTCGCCTCACACCACTTCTCAAGTCATAAACGAGTGCTGTCTCCAGCAGACCCGGAGCGCAGTTGTTCAGCGCGGGCTGAAACCTGCCTGCCTAATATCCCTTTCCTGCCTGATTCACCCAGGTAGCTTCAGAGAGGTGGGACTATGACTCCAATTGCAATAATGAATATTTCATCCAAACAGAGAAGAAATAGATGTCTGCTGTAGTCTGTGACCTCAGTACGCCTCAAAGTCCGTGTATTGAAATGGAATGTATAAAAACCACACAATTAGTATTCCACTTGTTTAAGTTGAAAGTCAATTTCCAATTCTACAACCAGGTTAAGGTCAAAGCTAAAGTGGCAGATGGTATCAGAGGTAAAATTAATCACTGAAGGTAATTTTCTAATGCAAACAGAGCTAATTCGTTTTAGTTCTTGACTGCCAAATTAAAACTATAGAAAGAATGTATGTACACAATTATTTTTAAGATAAAAAGCAACAAGCTTTTAGTGTCCAAATATGTCTCAGACTGTTTACTTTCAACAGTCAAAAATGAGATATTTCAGAAAAATAAAACAAAAATCCCCACAGCGTTAACACTATGCCTACAACCTGTAGAATGTTTTCATTAGAAGAAAGACTTCTTTGCATGCACATTTACTTATTTACTGACATAAGAACTTCAACATCTGGTAAAACCCTCTTACTTGTCTCACAAAGTCACATCATTAAGAAAAGCATATACTGGGCTATCATCTGCCCTGTAACATAAATTCACTCCAGACACTTACAGCACTAAAATGACCCCACTTTACTATTACAAAGGCGGCTGTTTCCCTCACGAGTCCTTCCTATTGTTCACACTGAAGCTTTAAAACAAAACAGGAACTGCACCTATGGTGAAAATGCTGACCCCACATTTGCATTAGTGGGAAGGCCAATGACACCTGACCAGCATGTCACCACCACACACGTGGCCCCTTGCATTCTCTTCTTGTTTCACACCAGTTGCTGTGTTCAATACACTTTTCTTAAAAATGGTTCAAAGGGCAAAACATGTTTACCAGTAAGACAATCACTTTCCAGACAGACACAGATTAGCTCAAGGAAGAAGTGAGACTGGTTCACCCGCTAGGGGGAAAGAGCTTCAAAAAATATTTGACTTGAGTCCTACTGGAAATCAATAAAAATCCATCAACCAGCCCAAGCTGATGTGTTTGAGTTCAGTAAGCAAACGCTCAGCATGCATCACCCACACACTGGGTCTTCCTGCAATAAAGAAGGGGCAGGAAATCCCTCCTGGAGCTCTTTGTTTAAACAGCTAGGTAAGGAGTCTTGGTTGCTCTTTCTTGAGTTTTATAGTCACAGACTTGCTCAGAACGGGAAATCTGTCAACATATAAGCCAAAAATGCAACATATCCAGGAACAACCTGGGACAAAGCAAAGTTATTCATTTTCATTCCGTAACTACTGTATATTTAACAACAAACTCATTACAGAGATACAGTCTTCATCCAATTAGTCTTTTCATTATTGCCGGTTTAGAAAAAGGCCAACAATATTCATTAGGTACTGTGCCATTAACATTGCATTCAAAGAAAGAAAACATAGGAAACCAAATTCTTGCTCTCCTGCTCTGATGATAAGCTCTGGTATTGGCCAGAGTATGGTAGTACAGAAAGAGTCTCGTTGTGATATAGAAGGCAATAAACACATCAATGGAATAATGTTCGTGGGCAGCCAAGATGAAGAAGATTCCAAAGAGGTTGAGAACCCAGGACAGAGTATGCAAGAAATTCCAGCTTCTTGGTGTATCTAGGAGAAGGACAGAAGGGTCATTTAAAAACACATTTCTTCTAAAGCTTCTTGGTCACATGCTTCTCAGGGTAGGCTACAAGCTGTTGCTCCCCAACCTGCTAAGTGCCCCAGCCCTGTCTCATGTGGTTCAGGCTGCCCTGAACTGCTTGTGTAGCTGAGGACGACAGGCATGAGCCATCACATGTTTTTATGCGGTGCTGAGGATCATGCATGACAGACCAGCACTCCACCAAGTAAGTTCCAACCCCAGCCCAACTGCCTATTCTTCCTAGGACTTTATATCCTCCCCATTTCCTCCTCTGCAACCAGCTGTCTGATATGTACAGAAGCATTGAAGACATACTTACATTCCGTGACAAAAAAATTCAGCATGGTTAGAACAACTGTGTGGCCACTGAACATGTAATCTCCACAAGTGTGGACACCAGTTAGGGTCATACCAAAGCCGCTCCAAATGGCAAATGCCCGGTGTAGTTTCTCCCACACACTTCCATATATCTATAAAGAAATCTTTGAATTAGTTCTTCAAATGCTTAGAGAGGTTCCAAGATTCCCCAGATCCATTATGGGAAGGGAATTTGTGAGGAATGATTCATTCAGGCAAAGGCAAACCCAATTAATTCAAAGTGGGTCCAGAGTGACCAAAAGCTTTCCTAGCCTCAGAAAACGCTGCTAATTAAGTGAGATCACGGTAATTCGAGCTCTTTTCTAGTAGAGTCCTTGAGAGTGAAAAGGTCCAGCTGGGCATGCAACATATGCTGAAGGGGCTTGAGCACAGGCTGGTCTACATACTGAGTTCCAGGACAGCCAGGGGCATAGAGAGAGCACATCTCAAGACAACAACAAAAGCAAAAAGTAGAAAGTGAAAAGGTCAAAGTCAAGAATGATGTGACATGTCCATAACCCAACACTTCATAGTCAGAGGCGGGAGGATCAAGAGTCCAAGGCTATATTCTCAATGACAGGCCAGCCAAGGTTACCAAGAACATCCCTAAATTTTATTTTACTTTATTTGCTTATTTTTATCCCACAATGCCCATGCTTAAATCTATATTACAATCTTTATTTTATTTTTGGTTTTTCGAGACAGGGTTTCTCTGTGCTATTCCCAACAGTGAAAGAAAGGCCAACCCTCCAGCACTGTAGGAAAGGGATGCCTAAGATCATACCAAGTTTTGTATTTAAGCACAAATAGAGTACAAGAGATTTCTTCTGGCTGCCCAGTGCAGCCTGGCAGAAAAAATGGTCCAGTATTCACTTCTGCTTAGAGAAATAGTCTTTGCTCTTTTGGACATCAGGCTCGAGGGTATCACTGCCAGGTTTCCAGCCAACTGGGCACACTTCACTATGTCAGTGAACTGGAAGGCCTGGAATAATTTCAGAATCTCATCTACAGAGCAACCAACAGGAAGATCATTTACAGTGATCTGTCGAAGGGTACCTTTATCATCAATAATAAAGAGGCCCCTGAAAGAGATATCTTCATCAGCCTTTAAGACTCCATAATCTTGAGCAATGGTGTGCTTGAGATTTGATACCAAAGGAAATGTTCATAGGTCCCAATCCTCCTTGTTTCTTGGGTGTAATTAACCCATGCCAGATGACAGAAGTAAGAATCCACAGAAGCTCCAATCACTTGGCAGTTCAGTTTCTTAAATTCTTCTGCCCTATCACTAAAAGCAATGATCTTGGTAGGGTATATAAAAGTAAAATCAAGAGGGTAACAGAAAAATGTGTTCTATTTTCCTCATTTAGGCAGATATCTTAAATTGCCTGTCGATCTGGCATAACAGCTGCGGCTTTGAAGTTGGGGGCAGGATGCCCAATTTTTGCATGTCCTGAAGACATCTAGCTATCAGCAGGGCTGAGTCACAGGTCTCAGAGAAAGAAACAGTTACAGGAAGGAAAGAAGATGACCCCGTACATACATTTCTAATATTGTTCAAGGTATTGTACCTATGCAACTCATTTAACAATGTAATGCAAAGTTTTAGCCCTCGAAAGTTATTATTACCAACTATTTAGGATAATAACAAATATTGGTCAGTAGTAGTCACTTATCTCAAGGTCAAACAAATTATTTTAGATAGACAGGTCATCTTCAAACACTTCAGAGATCTGCAGAATATGGTATTTAAGAAGTTTTAATAACACAGGTTCTTCTTTTATGACCATGAGACATGTCTGCTCCTGGCAGCACAAATGTACCTCAGAGAAGATGACAGTCAAAGCAACTCCATAGGGCGTTTGCTTTCTTTGTAGCAAAAGTAAGCCACTGGGCAAGAAAGTGTCCTTGCCTTGACTGCTGACAGTATGCTGTCTAAATTGGAAAAACAGGACACAAAAGAAAGGACCACCAAATTTTGCCAAGACAAGGTAGGACAATCCTTCAAAAATCATGCTTCATAGAAAAGTCTGTCAAATATTCTAGGCCTATAGGCCAAAGATGGATGCCCCAACATTATAGAGGAACCTTGGGTAACTGTCCAGGCAGCCAGCTGTTTCTGTCATTTCTCACAATTTTTGGAAGTTGCTTGCTCACACTTCCTGCTTTACTTGGCTAATGTTTTCTTCTTGGGTCTCCCAGGGACTAAACACAAGACAGCTACAGTCTCCTTGTTTACTAGACTCAGAAAAGAAATCACTAAGGAAATGTAAAGTGTATAAGGCTGAGAGACATAAAAAGATAACTGTGGGTTGGTAATGCAGGTTAGAATGAAAAGTGAACTAGGTGTAAGATTCGACTCAGTAGGACAGACAACAGAGAATTTTCTCTGAATTTGTCAAATGCAAATGGACTAGACATTGTTGATGTACTTATTGCCCATATATATATCGTTGGGTACTTATTATATATAGTTTTCTTACATTAGTTATAGCCTTATTTTATTTTTTATAATTTTTATTTACAAAAAAGGGAAATGTGATATTTTGTTTGTGCTTAAACAAATAAAGCTTGCCTGAAGATAAGAGTGTGGAGCTAGCCACACTAGTTAGTCATAGAGGCCAGGCAGTAATGGCACACACCTTAATTCCAGCACTCAGGAGACAGAGTGGGTCTCTTGAGTTCAAAGCCACCCTGGGCTACATGAGATTGAATCAGTCTAAAAGAAAAACAGAGCCTTTGACCTCAGCACTTGGGAGCACATGTCTTTAATCCCAGTACGAAGGAGGTGGAGACAGGAATGATATGGTTGGGTGGAGAGAGGAATATAAGGAATATAAGACAGGAGTTCAAAGCATTCAGCCTGAGGACAGGATACCCCGTTTGGTCTGAGGATTTGTAGAGGTAAGGACTAGTGGCTGGCTGATCTGCTTCTCTGATCTTTCAGCTTTCACCCACTAATATCTGACTATTAAGACCCATTAGAAATCATGCCACAGAAAAACTATCTAGATGACAAGATATGCAAATTAGCTCTGTGCTGCTAAATTTCAAAAACAATCTTGGTTCCATGATTTTAAGCCATTAATTTATCAAAAATGAAATGCCTATGGATCTCACTGTAAGGGATTTGTCTGCTGGTTATTATCCCCATAACACTCTACTTCTGAGACTGCTATAAATAATGTAGGATAATAATAATAATATAGGCCTATGGATCTCACTGTAAGGGATTTGTCTGCTGGTTATTATCCCCATAACACTCTACTTCTGAGACTGCTATAAGTAATGTAGGTCAATAGGCAGGCTGCGTTATGCTTCAAAGCAATTAGCAGCATTTGGGGCAGATTTGGATAGAAATACATACCTATAATACATAACCTATAATAAAGAAAAGTCACCAGAAACAGAAAGAGGACTGTCCACAGTGGAGAGTGACATCTAATTTCTTCCTGTAGCACAAGATGCAGCTACGTGCACAAAGCTCCAGCCTTCTCTTCAGTGGCTGTACCCTGATAGTTCCCTTCAAGCACAGGAAATTCTTATCTGCATAACAAGCTTATGTTATGTTGTTCCACCTTAAATATATTCCTTTGATATTTTTGGATCTGGCTGTTCAGAAAACTGCACTCAGTAAGGGCTTTAAAAATCCCTCCGTGTATAAAAAGAAGCATCTATCTACATTAGCGAATGAAGCAAAAGATACAAACACAAAAGCATTCTTTGAGATCTCCAGATCTGCCTTTAGCAGGAGGCAGAGACTGAGGGTCTGAACCCTCCAACCCAGACAGGTGTCCATGTGTTGCTACCTGAAAAATCTTGTCTGGATAATAGGCTGCCATTCATGGCCAAGGAGGTCCTCTCCTGAACTTGCCCCACCTCCAGAAGCCCCCTGTCCCTTAATCCTTTGTATAAGGAAAAGCAAACTTCAACACTCTGGCAGAGTCCTCTACTTTGTACATGGCTCTGGAGGTACTATCAAATGTGTGTGCCTTTTCTTCTAGTAATCTATTGAGACCAAAACAGTCAAACTTTCAGAGGAAAAGCACACAACTTCATTACAGTTTGTTCCTAATCAATTAGTATACTTTTGGGGGAAAATGTTTTTGCCTTCACGTCAAACCACGTATGGTATGATTTCAGGAGATTAGGTTCTTATATAAACAAAAAGTGAACAAAGTCGCATGCTGTAGGAATGAAAACCCAAACTCCACCTCCAGTCAAATGCAGTACTGTCGTCACTTCCAGAGACTGCTAACAACTGCTGTGACAGCTACAGCACACAACTGGGAACCATGCAGCTGTTCTAAAACAGCCAGAGGATCTTCTCGCTGAAGGTCAAGGACTCCTCAGCCTCACTGACAGGTCACCCCACCATGAGATCACCCTCAAGCAAGACTAGTCACCTCATGGGAACTGGCTTTTTCCCTCAGGCAATAACAAGAACTGAGGTACCCACCAGACCACACTTAGACCAAGGCACTCCAACTTTTCCTCCACTTGAACCTAAAGTTCTTATCAGTACTGATTTTGGAGGTCACTGGACTCCTCTGTCTGCTCCTCTTTACCACGTGGCCACAATGACCAAACTTCTCTGTCTTCTATCACTAATCCCCTTAATTGGTACACTGGGATAGGTGACTCAGTTTAGTCTGCTGGGACTTGGGGAGTGGGCTCTGTGATTAAGAATATGTACTGTTCTTTCAAAGGACCCTAATCACTTCCCAGAATGCATGAATGATGGCTCCCAACTGCAGCTCCAAGAAATCCAACACCTCTGGTCTTTGTGGGATTCACTATGGCAGTGGTTCTCAACCTTCCTAATGATGCGAACTTTTAACAGTTCCTCATATTGAGGTGACCCCAACCACAAAATTATTTTCATTACTACCTCATAACTGTAATTTTGCTAGTTATAAACTGTAATGTAAATAATCGATACGCAGGATATCTGATATGTGAGCCCTATAAAAGGATTGTTCAACCCTCAAAAGGGTCAAACAGGTTATGAGCTACAGGTTGAAAATCAGTGCACTATGTGGTTCAGCTGTTCTCAAATTTGCCACACAGCCTTCTGAGTGCTGGGATTATAGGTATGAACTGCCAAGTCCCGTTACTGATGACTGTTTCAGTGCAGTTTTGATCTGATAAGTAAAGGCCTGAGTGGGTCTAGCAAGAAGGTTCAGTGCTTAGAGGCACTCCTGGGCAGGCTCAATTTCTGGGTCTCACCAAGCAGCAGGAGAGAAGTGGCTCTCAAGAGCTGTCCTCTGAACCACACACTCATGCTGAGGCATGTGTACACCTGCACTTGCATATGTGCACACACGTACTCTCTTTAATATTTTTTCCTTTCGTTTTTTTGAGACAAAGTTCCTCTGTAGCTTTGGAGCCTGTCCTGGAACTCCCTCTATAGATCAGGCTGGCCTCTAACTCTTCTGTCTCCTGAGTGCTAGGATTAAAGGCATGCACCACCATCACTTGGCAACACCCCCTAAATCTAAAATATTTTTGATGGATATTTTTGAGTGATATCTGGAAACCAAAAGCAAACATGGATAATGTTCATTGCACTGCTTCAGAAAGAAAGGATACTTAAAATGTACAAAGTTACCAAAGGCAATCTACAGATTCAATGCAATGCCCAGCAAAATTCTTCAAAGACCTCGAAACAATGGTAATTCATATGGAAAAGCAAAAAACCCAGGATAGCCAAAATAATCCTATACAATGAAAGAAATACTGGAGGCATCACAATCACTGACTTCAAACTCTACTACAGTACTGAAAACAGCCTGGTATTGGCATAAGAACAGACAGGAGGACCAATGGAACTGAATAGAAGACCCAGATCAGACAGAGGTCTAAGCTCCAAAATATTCAAAGAACTCAAGAAATTGGACACAAAAAGATCACATAATCCAATAAAAAAAAAAAAATGGAGTACAGACCCAAACAGAGAACTCTCAACAGAGGAATCTAAAATGGCTGAAAGACACTTAAGGAAATGTTCAATATCCTTAGTCAGCCGGGCGATGGTGGCGCACGCCTTTAATACCAGCACTCGGGAGGCAGAGGCAGGCGGATCTCTGTGAGTTCGAGACCAGCCTGGTCTACAGAGCTAGTGCCAGGACAGGCTCCAAAGCCACAAAGAAACCCTGTCTCGAAAAACAAAACAAAAACAACAACAACAAAAAATCCTTAGTCATCAGAGAAATGCAAATCAAAACAACTCTGAGATTCAATCTTACACCTGTAACAATGGCCAAGATCAAAAATACTGATGACAACTTAGGCTGGAGAGGTTGTGGAGAAAAGGGAACACTTCTGCATTGCTGGTGGGAATACAAGCTGGTACAACCCCTTTGGATGGCAGTGTGGCCATTTCTCAGAAAATTAGGAAACAACCTTCCTCAAGACCCAGTAACTTCACTTTTGGGTATATATCCAAAGGATGCTCAATCATGCCACAAGGACATGTGCTCAACTATGTTCATAGCTTTGTTTGTCATAGCCAGAACCTGGAAACAACCTAAATGCCCCTCGACCGAAGAATGGATAAGGAAAACGTGGTACATTTACACAATGGAATACTATTCAGCAGAAAAAAATAACGACAGCTTGAATTTTGCAGGAAAATGGATGGAGCTAGAAAACATTATTTTGAGTGAGGTAACCCAGACACAGAAAGACAATTATCACATGTACTCACTCATAGGTGCTTTTTAAACATAAAGCAAAGAAAGCCAGTCTACAAACCACAATCCCAGAGAACTTAGACAACAATGAGGACATTAAGAGAGACTTACATAGATCTAATCCAGATGCAAAAGTAGAAGAAAGTAGAAAAAGACAAGATCTCCTGAGTAAATTGGGAGCATGGGGACCTTGGGGGACGGTTGAGGTGGGGAGGGGAGAGCCAGGGAGGGGAGCAGAGAAAAATGTAGAGCTCAATAAATATCAATTTTTAAAAAAAGGTTACAAAGTTACTATGTGCTCTTTACAAAAAAAAGTAACTAAGGAGACTGGGGAGATGGCTAAAGTGCTTCTATGCAAATGTGCCTTGAGTTCAGATCCCTAGAACCCATGCCAAGACAAAACCTAAAAGGCTAGTTGGATACAATGGCTCATTGGTAATCCCAGTATGAAGAGGAGACAAGAATTCCCCAGAGTGGCTGGCATGTTAGCTGAACTAGTGGCTCCACATGCATGCTGAAATGCCTCAGTATATAAGGTGGAGATTGATCAAGAAAAGAACCTGACACTAACCTCAGGCCTTACCCAGACACACAAGATAAAGAATAATATAGCAGTAACTTAACCCTAAATTACAGATCCATCTTTGAAATTCATCCTCAGTTGAAGGATGTCTATCAATGTCAACTTATTGGAGTAAATACAAACTCTACATAAAAATGATTTGTGCTGCTGGAGGTACCCAACACTTCTAATCCTAGCAGTTGTGAGGTAGAGACAGGAGAATCTCTCTGAGTTCCAGGCCAGCCTGAGTTCTAGGCTATCCAGAGTTCATAGCGAGATTCTGCCTCCAAGGGAGGGAGAAAAGAAAGGAGAAACTCCAAGCCAGATCTGTGCAAAGTAGGCACAACTAATAACAGTTTTACTTATAGGTTGGGACAAAAAGGGTTCTATGTGAGCTTTTGCTTTTTTAACATACATTTATATATAATTTGATTTCTTACAAGAAACATGGACAACTTTGTAATAAAAAGATGTTTTTCTGCCAGGTCTTGGTGGCACATGCCTTTAATCCCTGTACTCCAGAGAGGCCGGCAGATCTGTGAATTCGAGGCTAGCCTGGTCTACAGAGCAAGTTCCAGGACAGTCAGGGCTACACAGAGAACCCTGTTTCCAAAAAGAAAAAGGAAAAAAACAAACAAACAAACAAAAAAAAAACAGAGAAAAGAAATGTTTTTTCTATATTGAAAAACACAAAACTCCAACAGTTTGTAGCCTTAATATTTGCTTTTGGTCCTTCTCAGTGCTCAGTCTCACATGCCTAATGCCTGGAGAACTCTGCTGCCCTTCACATTAAGGGCAGTATTTTTAGCTCTTATCTCCTTTGGGTGCTTAATCTTCCTTCCCTAATTGGCCTGCCAGCTATTTCTACTACTGCAGTATAGGCAACGGCACCTAATTTTGTTTTACAAACATTGAAATAACAAAGGTGTTAATGCCCATTAAATCCCCTGTCTGAAAAGTAGACTATTAATTTTTTTGCCTAAATCTAACTATTCACAATTTTGTGTACCAATGACATATGATACCATCAAGTTTTGGTCTTGTTTATTTTAAACAGATCTTTCTACATAACCCTGAGTCCCACAGTCCTGGAGCTCAGCTTGAACACAGATCCGCCAGCCTCTGCCTCCCAAGTGCTGAGATTAAAGGTATGTGTAACTACGCCTAACTGAGATCCTCAACACTTAAAATTATTTTATTGATTTTTAAAAATTAACTAAGAGTGTATGTGGGGGTGGGGGGGGCGATGATGGGAAAAGGGACTGAACCTCACTCAGGACCCTGTGGACATTATACACTCACCCTGTCACTGAGCTTAAATTCATTTTTCTATTTTTATTCTTATTTTATTTTATTTCTGGTTCTTCAAGACAGGGTTTCACTGTCTAACAGCCCTAGCTGTCCTGAAATTCACTTTGTAGATCAGGCTGGTCTCAAATTCACAAAGATCAGCCTGCCTCTGCCTCCCAAGTTGTGGGATTAAAGACGTACTGCCCAGCTATAAACCTTTTTTGTTCCATATCAGCATAATTTGTCCTCTAAGCAGAAAAGGATACATCAACAATGTAATCAAACAGGAAATTATAAAGCACACACCAAAACCAAAGAGAAAAAATATCAATATTTCATATATCTTAGACAGTTTACAGAGTACCAGGTTAGTTTCAACTGGAAAATGCTTAAAATGTTTAAAGAAAAGGAGTGATGGGGCTGGAGGGATGGCTCAGTGGCTGCTCTTCCAGGGGTCTTGAGTTCAATTCCCAGCATCCACATGGTGGCTCATAACCTTCTGTAATGAGATCTGGTGCCCTCTAGTGGCATGCAGGTATACACGCAGGCAGAACACGATACATAATAAATAAATAAATTTTAAAAATGAGAAAAGGAGCAATGGAAGCAATAATGAATATGAATATCTAAAGTGTATCAAGGGTGGATGTGATCCAAATGCATTGTGAATATGTATGACAGTGTGATAATGAAACCCATTATGGTACATAATTAATGCATACTAAAAAAATTGTAAATAAGATGCTGAGTATAGAGAGGAAGGGAAAATGTAGCAAAAAAAATAGAGCCAAAATATTTTTTTCCCATAGCCCCATAACATGGAACTACTCTCCATGATGGAATCACAGGGAGACAAGTCTAGCTGAAGGTCACTTAACCCAGCCATTTCTGTCAAGTTTACTACTGATACTGCAAATACATTAAAGCACATTTTAACATGAAAAGCACAGTCTTTGTCCTCCTGCATAATTGTGTCACTAATCCAAAACAACAATAAAGAACATATAGAAGGTAGCAGGCTACCTTTCCAGTGCACTGCAGGTGCTGTCCTGGCACGGAGAGCGAGGTCACAAACATGGTAAAGCAGCGAAGCAAAAATACAGTGCCCATCAGACTACAGAGCCTTCGCAGAAGGATTGACCTGTGAACAGAGTGATCAGAGCAGAAATCAGAGAATAGTCCAAACTCTCCTAGAGAGAAAGCAAGGGGAAACCACTAGTCTTTATGAAGGACAGAAGTCTTACCCCCTCTTAGGAGTTCTGTATTGAAAGGAAAACCATAGAGACAAATGGGTCAGTGTTTGCGTGGGGCCAGGGCTGGGATTGGAATCAACAATGAAGAGACAGAAGTAATACTGGGGACCTTGGGATTAGTACTATTCAAAAAAGGTTTATTAAGGTTTATTTTTATTACTTTTTAATTAAGTGTAGGTATGTGTATGTGCCTGTGAGTGTGTGCATGGATGTGGAGGTGTCCTTGGAGGCCAAATGTGTAGGATTCCCTGGAACTGGAGTTACCGGCAGCTGAGAGCCATTCAGTGTGGGCACTGGGAACTGAACTCCAGTGCTGTGAGCAGCAGCAAGTGCTTTTTTTTTTCTTTTCCCGAGACAGGGTTTCTCCGTGGCTTTGGAGCCTGTCCTGGAACTAGCTCTGTAGACCAGGCTGGTCTCACAGCAAGTGCTTTTTACCAGAGTCACCTGGCCCACCCCTTAAGTTGTTTACAGGAGAATCTACTTCTGCTCATTAACAGCACTAAAATGGTTGATAAGAGTGGCTATATGAAATTATTCTAAGCTGTTCCTAACTTAAACTTAAGATATGAAAGTAATACTAAGTTTTATAAAGTATACCTAAAACAGAAACTTTGGGGGACTTCTTCTCAAAAGCAGCCCTGAACACAAGGCAAGGAATGTTTTAATCTTTAGTGTACACATCTAGAGCTTGGGAAATACCCCTTCAACAACCTTTCTGAGGACCCCATCAATGTCATACGATGAGGACATCTGAGAAGTATCTAAGTAAACACTGCCTCCAGGATTTGTCCACTTTAAGTAAACACCACTGTGTGGATTCACTTGGTCACTACTAAGCTTCACAGCATCTACCAAAGTTTCTTCTAAGGTTAAATTTGCTCTTATTTTCAAAAGTGGATATACTCGAATCCACAGGGTCTTGTGAGCCAAAGTTAACCACAAAGCAGTGATATACATGCTTTTAAACCATTTCATCCTAAAATAGGAGTACACACAAGACAGAATGAGAAATGTGGTAAAATGGCCTCAAAATGTGACAAAAATAGCAGTCCTCAACCTTTGTTTTCACCTTCAAAAAACTAAAATAACTAAGCTCAGGATGTCTGTGGTGACCACAGAACTTCCTGGTGAGGAGAGGGCCCCAATTGCAAGACAACTCCCAGTCATTCCTCTCCAGGCTTCTAAAATCAATGGACAGCGGCTTAACCACAGAGTTTTAGAATAATTTTCTTCATCACTAAGCCTGATTTTCTTTCCTATTGTTTTTGACATCAAGCAAGACTCATTAATTAAGTAGAAAAAAGGGTCTTCCTACTTTTGTGCCTTCTCTGTGGTATTTATTTATTTACTTATTTATTTTTTGGTTTTTCAGATTTTCTCTGTGTAAGAGCTCTGGCTGCCTGGAACTCACTCTTGTAGAGCAGGCTGGCTTTGAACTCAGAGATCCGCCTGCCTCTGCCTCCCGAGTACTGGGATTAAAGGCGTGAGCCACCACCACCCGACTGCTGTTTTTACTTGTGATTAAAAAAAGAAAAAAGTCTTCCTTTTGCATTTTGTGGTAAAAGCACCAAGAAGTACTCTCCCCACTGAGCAACATCACCATCTCAGATGTGCAGGACAGGCAAATAGCTGCTTCATGGGCTTCCCTCCTCCAATCAAACACCTAACCTAACACTGTCCTTGGAAGCTTTCTCTCTCTCTAAAGAAGTGGTATTTCTAGTTTGTTTTTGAAGAAGAAGAAAGGAGAAAGTTGAGAGGAAGAGAAGAAAGAGGAAGAACATAAGGTAAGAGGAGCAGGAGAAGGCTAGACTAGCAAGGACTGGCCCAAGGCTGACTACCCTTTCCCCTATAAAAAACATTCACAATATTATTAAATAATATATTGGTCTTAGAACTTTCCTTAACCAAAGCCCCAATTTTCTTTTGTAAAAAGCTACGTCACACTGAGCAGAGGGAAATCTCCCAGGGCAATGCAGAGGGAAGAACCAGGCTTGACAACCCGAAATGAGTCAGACGGTTTCAGTCCTTAGAAATCGGGAATACCTGTGCTTGTGAAGAAGAAGAACCAGGATCCAAATGTAGCACAGAATCATGCCACACACTTCAGTCATGGAGAAGGCCCACGGGATCCTGGGAACACTGCAACAAAAAAACAGTTCTTTCTGGAACTGAAGACGAGCAGGTGCACCCCTTTTCATACAATGCTTCAACCTCAGAACTGCTCTGTAGAACGTAACCTTTCTCAGCAGATATTTGAAAAGCCCGGGGGGGGGGGAGTAAAAATTAGCAGATGGATTTCCAAGTTTCAGACCAGCCTGGTCTGCATAAAGAGTTCAAGGACATCCAGGGAAACAGTGAGACCCTGCTCCCAACAAGAGATATATCTACACATACAAAGGTAAATCCACTTCTTCTCAAAAGTAAACCTAAGTACTGAAGTACTGCTCCCCAGTTTTACTCTATTTCATCCCACATTAAATCTTTTAGTAATACACACACACACACACACACACACACCTTTCTCTGTATGAGTCTCTCATTCACTATTAAGAACAGCTGTTTTAGCTTACAATGTAAGCTTATAGTCATACAAAAATTATGATAATACTCCTCCCTGTAAAACTTCTAATTTTCTAGAGCTAATAAAAACCTCTTGTAGAAAAGTTTCCAGGTACTTACTCATGCTCCTTCCTCCCTCCCTCCCCCATTACTCCTCCTGTTATACTGGTGTATAATGGCATTCTTGCTCCCTTCTGTTTTTATCTTTTCTCCTATTATCTTGCCCTTTGCCCTACCACAGCAACCAACACTGGCTGTTATAGCCTGAAACTTGTCATTACTAATGTTTCTCTTCACACCCTCAATTTCAAGAATTCTATGCTTTAGGTATAATACATAAAAATATATGTAAGAACCCAAACACAAACCTACCCCAGGTCATCCCTACCAGTACAACATCCTACAGTATAGCCCTGCGATCAAGCCCTATGTCCACTTCTTTGCAATCCTAAATTGACCTTACAGCAAAGATCTGATTGTCTTCAATCCCCATGTCCTCCCATCATCACTAATTTATTTGAAAAAAATCGTGATCCTTCTAAAAGGCTTACAAAAACAAGACTTAATACTCTTCACTTATATCTTTCAGTTATCTATTTTTAATGTTTTTGCCATATTTGTTTCATTTCACACATTTTAGAGTCCTCCAAAATAAGTTACAGATACATCTCCTCCCTAACTGCACGTATCTCAGAGAGTAAGGCTGACCTTCAGACCGCTGCACCGAGAACTGCAGCACCAGTCGGCTCCTGTTTACTACGCACCCACTCAAGCACCCACTCCACACGTTCTAATTCCCCTCAACGCTCTTTGCTACTACATTTTCTTGATTAGAATCCAATTACCATGTATTGACCTTGGTGTATCCCTTCAATTTCCCTCACAATCCCCTGTTGTGACTACAACACTGACTTCTCTGGAGACTCCAGTGAGCTATTGTGTGAAATGCTCCTTTTTGTGTGTCTGACTATTTCCTCGTGATCAAACTTAGGTTAAAATTTCTTGAGGGGCAAGACTATTATCAAGGTGAAGTCTGTCTGCTTGCCGTGGTGCTGGATCTGACCTGTCAGGTCCCAGCACTGTAAAGCACCTATTTCCTCTGCAATTAAGTAAAGTGAAAGACGAAGCTTCAATAACGCAAACAGGCTGCTGCTCAGCGGCTTTCCATCAAACGCATCTGAGCATCCACTAACAACTTTCCTTAATCAAATGCACACTGAAGGATGCAGATAGCTTCCCTTCACACCCACTATTTCTCGTCTGTTTCCTACAGTCATAGAATATTTTCTTCAATGTTTTAAAATCCATTACTACCATTCCTTTTTCTTTTTTTAAAATAAAAAGGAACAATAGTTTATAGGGTATACTGTAGGAGGTGAGCAGACTGAGTAGTAACCAGAATACTATTACCTATAACAGGTGGTGTCCCCTCAAGGTACTCATGCTATAGCTTGGTGGAAGAGCACTGACCCAACATGGATCGGTTCTGGGCTCAATCACCAGCAATGAAAAACAAGAAGGTATTGCTAATTTTTAAAAAATTACTTAAGCAAAAACAGTTGTTACTCACTGTTCTTGTTTTTTTATAACCTTAGAATATTTATTTTTGGATTTTCAAGATAGGGCTTCCCTTTGTAGCCCTGGCTGTCCTGGAACTAGCTTTATAGACCAGGCTGGCCTTGAACCCAGAGATCTGCCTGCTTCTGCTTCACAAGCACTGGGATTAAAGACATGCAACACCACCAGCTCTTTTCTTAATATTTATTTCTATTTAATTTTTTTTAATTTAAATTGATGTTTTACCTGCATGCATGTCTGTGTGAGGGTATTGGGTCCCCTAGAACTGTACTTATACACAGCTGTAGCTGCCATGTGGGTGCTGGGAATCAAGCCCAGGTCCTCTGAAAGAACAGCCAGTGCGCTTAACTGCTGAGACCTCTCTTCAGCCCTCAACTATTTCTTTTTTATTTAATATATATTTGCTTAGTTTTATTCAGTGTGTAATAAAAACAAAATCAATCCCTGAATTATTTTGTACTACTGGAAAAAAAAAAAAGGCAGCTGAGTCCATTACAAACACCCCCTAACATAATATCCTTTATAAACTGCCCAGAGCTTGAGCCTGTGGTCCACCTACTTCAGATCCCAGAGTACAAGTATGTGCCACCATGCTTGGCAGAGCATGTCCTTTGATGGCACCAGATAAGGCAATGCCAGCTACAATCACAATGTAACTACCCACATTACCACTGCTGTGACTCTAGAAACAAAACCTACCTGTCTAAGAATATATCCGGGAGTGGTGGATAGGTCTGCATGTCAGGAACTCGCTCATGAACAATAACCATAATGAAAGATGTAAACCCGAATACTATAAAAACGTATACACAACTCAGTATGGTCTTCCAGTACTCTGGGTCCAGTCTTCGAACAGAATGCTTGTTTTTGCCATTCATGTACTGGTACTGGTCAGAATTCAAGTCAGTGACGGGTCCATCGCAGTCGTGTGTGGGCTCTCCATTGCAGAGCCAGTCTGCGCTCTGAAGAGCACTGATGAACGGAGTCATGGGACTCATAGGACTATCACTGTTGTATCCCATCTCCTCCAAAACATCAATATGAATTTTCTGCAGTTTTCTGACTGAGAGCATTAACCTTTTAATGTCTCCTAGGACTTTGATTTCCAGAGGAGGAGATCGAAGATCATATTCAGTCAGTGTGAGTAAAGTGATTCCATCAAGTCGGTGCTTATTACATAAAATGTCCACATATTCAAAGAAACCTTCATCCTTCAGCCACACCGCTACATGCTTGGTAGTCCAGCGGCGAATGCAGAGTTGACTAGGGCCTGCCATTTCTTCCTCCACTGCCTGGCAAGAGAAAACAGGAAAACAAAACAAAAACTTTAAAAAAATCTTTACAGTAGTTCAACATCTTCATTAAAGACCAAATGCAAACACGCATACCAGAAACAATAAAGTACCTATACTGCCCTCACTGGCTTCCACAGCCAAAGAAACAAAAGTTATTCAGTAATTGTCAGAGACCAGCTTCGACAAAAATGCCACTTACCAAGGTAGGGGCACGGGGATTAGAAAGATAAGAAAATGGAGGACGTGAAATAAAACAGGGACAGGATGGTACTGGGAGGGAGGGATTCCAGAGAGTGCTGAAAATCACCTGCTTCAATTTCCAACTGCTTAAAATACCTGACCCCCAAAACTAGGAGTAAGATAAAAACTTTTAACATGATACAAGGAAATGAACAGACCAGTTAAAGATTGCTGGGCAAGAGGAGTCACGCTCACACCCTAGACCAAAACATTCTGTAGGCAAACCACTCCGCAGGTTTATCACCTCCCTATGGGGAGTAGAACTTAGTTGGGTCCTTAGACTTTACAAGGTATAAATATTAGCCACACCTGTTGACAATAACCTTGAGAGATCAGAACTCTCTAGTCCAAATCAAGGTAGGACCTTTGTTTGAGGTAGAAACACAGTAATCTTGAAGGAACAGAAGTAAGTTTCAACTCTCTGACCTTTAGACAAGGTGAAAATAGGCTCACATTTTTGGGTCTCCACAAGTAACAAGTGACTTCAGACTAACATTCTAATCATTTTAAGAGGTTGATGGCAGATGTTTTGGTTTTATGAAGGGCAGTTGTTAACTCCGAACTCATACAGGACACGGCAAGTGATCTACCCTGAGCTATACCAGCAGTTTTAATACTTTAGAGAAAGGTGTTTTACAGGTGGAGTTTCCACAGCATTTCAACAATTACTTCAAAAGATTACCATGGAGAACAACGGAAAGAGGAAAATCTCATTTTAATATTTTTTGTAAAATGAAATCTATAAAAGACATATGGAAAAAATTAAATCTCTGAAATTGTCATGTTCATGGGAAACATTTTCCCCACTTGAGGTGGAAAAGAATCGTTCCAGGAAATTTTAGATTTGTACATTTCAATCTACTATATAAAAAATAATTTAGCCAACAGATAAAAAGATTTTAAAATAGCTATGAATTTGAGCTAAGTTCCTTTGAGTTCTTGAAAGTCCCACTGCAGAACTGAAAAGGAACTTCTAGGAGATAGGGGTCAAAGTTTTAAAAGGGAACTGTCATTTCAATATACTCAAAAATATGAAGCAAAATTCAGATTATAATTATAAAAGTTACACAGCTATAAATTCAGATTATAGTTATAAAAGGCTACTTAATGCACTGTTTTTAAAAGTACTGATAAGTTTTGCTACTTTGATCCTGCTCAGCTATTTATGTTCTTTTTCTTTTGTGAAACCTGGGTCTATTTCAAGCTTATAAAGTGTATCAGATACATAGGAAGCAAAGGCCAATACAGAAAAAAGAAAACCAAAACTACTTCTCATGTGCCTACTTCTCTGACTTTTAAAGCCTGTGGGTTTTCTGAATTTCAAAGAGCTCACTACATTCCCTTCTGAATAATGTTTAAAAACAGGAGTTATTTTTTTAAAATCCACAATGATACAATAAATATCTAGCTTAAAAAAAGTTGCAGTAAAGTGTTCTGAGGAGATATAGGTTTCTTTTGTGAAAGTTCATTATACAATTTGCTTTAAAAAGCAAAACCAAACATTAGTACAAATGCATATCCTCCAGGACACAGATCTCCAGAATGCATGAGACAGTCCATCTTTTTCACCTCCCGACCATGCTCAGATCTCCTGATTTAAGTGTTTATCTTGGCTTTACAGCACACATTGCTGACTAAGAAAAACTTCTCAGCTTCTTTAGGTTAAGGAAAGCAAAAGGCAGGTGATGCTACACAGCCGTCCCTTCCCACACAAACACTTGCTAAAGACTTAATACCATGGAACAAAAACAGATATTTTAACCAATGAGCTCACCCATATCATCAAAAGTATTCAGGAAATAAGAGACACCCTTGATGAAATTCACCCAAAGATGAAAATGTCCATCATTAAATATTGTCTTGATACCAAAAAAGTAACCCTCATTTTCAGAAAGCTTAAAGCTGTATTTCATTATCAATCCACATTTTTTTCCAATCTTAAAAAATTAACAATGTATGCATCTACAAAGGGTTTGTATTTTAAGTCTGCTGCAGTTATATATAGCATATGTAAAATTCCACTGAACTATGGTTTTGCCCTTTCTGCTACATCTGTATCTTCCTTTCTCCCAGGTATGCTCTGACTAAATCATCAAACTTGGATACCTAACAAGACATGCTATAAACTCAGCAGAGGTTACCAAGTAGCAAACCTCATCCACAAGTCAAATTCTCCGCTTCATCCCGAGTCTTCTACTTTCCCTCCTCTCCCATCTCACCACCAGCGGGTTCCACGTCACTCCCATCCTCGCAGCATTATTCTTTGGTACAGTTTCATCTCAAACGCTGAGCAAAATGATTCTTCTCTTCTTTCACATTTCTCCCCCATATTAACTCACCAGTTCTTTCAACTTCAATCAAGCTAACTGGCTTTGATGCCCAAACCTCAGCCACTAGAAAATACAAGTTAGAACACGAAGTCTCCTGGAAGCCTTTGAGCTTGTGGGAAAGCCTTAAGAGCATGACACATTTCACCGCTCTACCTCATCAGGCCAGTGCATGTCCTTTAATTGTGTGCTGCTACATAATAGTTACAGGGTCCCAGGAACCAGTACTTAGCCCCAACTGTGAGAACGTGTAGTAAAGAGGAATATTAGAAATGATAACAAGCTTCAGCATCCATTTAATAGTCATGTTGCACCACAGGAATTCCAGGGAACGAAAACTGAGCAAAGAATACGACGGACATTGGTTTTATACAAATCAATAAAAAAATTTTGTTCAGTATATGTTCAAGGATGCTTTTCCATTTTAACTAATAATTGATTCACATCAGTTATTATTATCAATTATTAATAATAATTAATATTATTATCAATAGGACTGCTGTTTCTGGCCAAGTTATAAAAATAGAAAAAGATTTACCCTCTAATTTGAAGTAATCAAATAATAAATAAAAATACACGAAAAAGGGGCTGGAGAGATGGCTCAATGGTTTAAGAGCACTGCCTGCTCTTCCAGAGGTCCTGGGTTCAATTCCCAGCCACCATGTGGTGACTCACAACCATCTGTAATGAGATCTGGCGCCCTCTTCTGAGGTGCAGGCATACACGCAGAGAACACTGTACACATAATTTTTTTTTTAAATCTTAAAAAAAAAAGACATGAAAAAGATTCAAAATGATGGCTATAAGCTAAATTCCAGAGAGACAGTAAGCAAATGAGGTGGCTCGTATTACTTCAGCTTAATACCTTGAGAGCTTTTAGACCAGGAGAGGCATAAGACAAGAAACCCAGGTGAGTTGAAGCCTGGAAGCCATGCTGAGCTGAGCTGATCAAAATGGCTGTATTTGTGGGGCCGAATACCACAGAAACACTCAGATGGAGAACTGCAGAGATACACAGAGTCTCCCTTGAATACTCATCAGAACATGCATGTGTCAAAATAGAAAAGAAACCATCCAAAAGCATTCCCAACATAAACAACCACAAAAGCCAATTCCAATCAGACTAACCACCAGTTCACAATTCATGGGGCTTCAGAAGAACACCACATCATCAGTGGGGCAAAATCAAATCTAAAACCACAGTTCTCAACTAAGGCTAACTCCCTTCACATTCCAGGGAAAGTCAGCAGTATGTGTATGAATGCTTCATTGTCACCACTAGGTGAGGGGGGTTACTAGCTCGTAGGAAGTAGACACCAGGGATGCTGGTAAAAATCCCATAATGCTCTCAGCTGTGGTAGTATTCACCTGCAGCCTCAGCCCTCTGAAGGCCAAGCCAAGGAAAGTTCAAGGCCAGAGTACTATACAGAATTTATCAGGGACTCTGTGTGCTGTCTAATTTTATATAACTTGACACAGGCTAGAGCCATCTGAGGAGAGAACTCCAGTTGAGAAAATGCTCCATAAGACTGAGCTGTAGGCAACCCTGTAGAGCGTTTTCTTAATCAGTGATTGATGGTGGAGGGCCCAGGCCATTGTGGGTGGAATCATCCCTGGGCTGGTCCTGGGTTCTATTAAGAAAACAGGCTGAGCAGCCATGATGAGCAAGCTAGGAAACAGAACTCTGCCCGGCGTCATCTCCTGCCTCCAGGTTCTAATCCTGTGATGACTTCCTTCAATGATGAACAGTGATATAAAAATGTAAGCCAATTAACACCCCTCCAAGTTGCTTTGGTCATGGTATGGTGTTTCATCACAGTAGTGGTAACTCTAAGACACCCTCCCTCAAAAAAAAAAAAAAAAACTGTCAGGACTTCTGAGACTGAGAAGCTTCTGTAAAGCAAAGGACACTGTTGCTAAGACAGAAAGGCAACCCACTGACTGGGAGAAGATCTGCACCAACCCCACAACTGACAAAGGTCTGATCTCCAAAATATATAAAGAACTCAAGAAACTAGACCGTAAAAGGCTAATCAACCCAATTATAAAATGGGGCACTGAGTTGAACAGAGATCTCTCAACAGAAGAAGTTCAAATGGCCAAAAGACACCTAAGGTCATGATCAACTTCCTTAGTGATCAGGGAAATGCAAATCAAGACAACTTTAAGATACCATCTTACACCTGTCAGAATGGCGAAAATCAAAAACACCAATGATAGCCTTTGCTGGAGAGGTTGTGAAGAAAGGGGTACGCTCATCCATTGCTGGTGGGAATGCAAACTTGTGCAACCACTCTGGAAAGCAGTGTGGAGGTTTCTCAGGAAATTTGGGATCAACCTACCCATGGACCCAGCAATACCACTCTTGGGAATATACCCAAGAGAGGCCTTATCACACAACAAAAGTATATGCTCTACTATGTTCATAGC